GTACACCTGTTATTTTAACTTATCTAAAATTTGGGTGTGACAGACAATCTATAAATGTAATAATTAGCATGGGGTATCAGACTTTCTTACTGCAGTATTGGGCCTTGATAGTTCTGAAATCAGGCTGTTGTATAAAGATATGTGAGGGTCAGATAGGCTGCAATAAAGCTGAGGGACGGGGATATGTATCTAGGCACAGAGATGAAGGGATGGTTATTCAAATAAAAACAAACATATCAATAAAAGAAGGGAGGGGTCAGAGGTCAGTCACAAATCAGAGGGGAAATAGAGGAATTTATATAGGTGAATAAAACAATTACATACAGGACTGGCAAAACTATACTTTAGCATAGCAGACACGATATAAAGGCAAGAAAATATAAAATGCACACAGGATATATAAAATAAAATAAATGTACATGGTGGTTAAATTAAATATAAATAATGCTGTGCAGGATAGGGTCTTCCAGAAGGCTACCTTGCTTATTGCAGACAATCAGCTGATGGAGCACTGACTTTCTTACAGCAGTATTGGGGTTTGGAAATCAGTCTTTGCTTATTGCAGACGATCAGCTGATGGAGCACAGACTTTCTTACAGCAGTATTGGGGTTTGATAATTGTAGATTATGCTAGCTTTAGTGTACCTATAATCTTCATTTTATTAATGTCAGGAGGAAAGTATTTTCTTAAGTCTGTCTTTACTAGAACTCCGCAGCAGCACAGAAAAAACAACCAATCAGAAAAAAGTTAGGTACTATAAAACTCCCCTCCCCATGCATCATTGCCTCTTTCAAGCTGCGACAAAACAGAACAAAAGGCAGAAAACATAATGGGAAAGAAACTAAGTCCTATATACGATGAATACGACAATGTCCACCATCCAAGAGGAACTGCCAAATCATATAGCGATGATGGACTGTAAGCTGAAACGAGAGAAAAACAGAACCGAACAGGTTGGTTAGCCAATGAAATGTACTCTGAACAAACATGTAGGTACCCAGTGTAGCAACCAAATACCCTAATATGTGGCTATCCCAACCTTACTTATGAAAAGTTAGACATAAAACAAGTGACAGGTAGCAGAGACAACAAGCAGAGTTGCATACGTACCTATGAAACCAAACTATAAAATTAAACAAGGGAGGGATAAGAATGGGCGGGAAATACTCGCCTCCTGTCATTAATAAAATTAAGATTATAGGTACACTAAAGCTAGCATAATCTACAATTTTATAACATGACAGGAGGCTTTGTATTTGCTGTTTTAACGCTCAACCAACAAATCCAACGCTATTTGTTTGCGCTGGTACATATTCCAGGATATATTAGAGCAATCTTAAATAGACCGTCCAACTGCGAGAAGTGACAGTAGGTGGATCAATGAGAATGCCAACTGACAAGGCACCTCAAAATACGGAAAAAATACCCTCCACTGGTTGATCCAGTGTACGTGGGGTTGTGACCTGTTTCCCAGCAGCCGGTCCATGAGCTGCCAAGCTGACCTGTAACGGCAGCCCCAGGCATAAAAGGGGTTAAAAGCGCTGTTTAGAAGATCTTCCCCTTCCAGAGACACAGGAACAGCTACCGCGGAACCCCAAACTCCTGAACAGGATACAAAGTAGCACTCCAAACTCTCGAACTGGAACCTCACAAATAGCTGCTAGCTATAGGTGGGTTAGAAAAGCACCCAAGCGGCTTACACTCCTGGCAATCAGTCTCTAACAGCATACAGTAAATCCCCCCCACAAGGCTCCGTTTTGAGGGTCAAGCAGGAACAGCCAGAGCTGTGGGTTTATTGTTCTTATATACACATTAGTACCACCCACAGGGTTTTGGAAAACAACCAATAAACACACAATACATTCAGACACAAAATCCTCCCCTCTGCCTGTGATACAATTACCTTACACAATGGGTAATGTAATTATCACCGGCAGAGAAATACAGTTTTTCCACATTATTCATAACTTGAAAAGTATGCATCACATTCACATAAAAGTTACATTTTCAGAATCAGCATACTCCAAATACAAACATATGTCATCCAAATTGGTCCATTGGTTCAAAAGATAGATCGAAGTCCTTTGTGACCAAATAAAGCATGGCTTTTCTGCCCAAACCAGTTCCACAGAGTCTTCTATCCTGGAGATAATTGTGAAGTAATCCAATTATCTCCAAGGACAGAGGCAAAACTCCATTGAACACATGGCAGCAAAAGACAATAAAACACATAAAAACATATAACTGTGCAGCCATTGCACAAAACAGGTACATTCAACATATCCCCAGATAGCTCAGATCTGAGCGCACATTATTGCTGAATGGCGTTCAGAGAACACACATACAGTTCAATTGCCATGGAGCCAAAGTCTTTCCCACAGTCTTTCATTATACGAATGGGCTCCATGGCATAGCTATCTGGGGTATCACCGCTCAAACAGGGCCAGCACCGAATGACCTGGCTTTCGTGTCTTCGCAGGGGAAAATCAAGCGTTTCAACATGGGGCCATAGTCTAAAGGCAGCAGACGGGCAACCAAGCTCCTCCAATGCACAGTGGCGAGATTGGTCTCGTCACATGATCTGTTAGTAATTTTCCTGTAGGTGCAAAATGCTGACTTTTGGGGCCGCAAAAGGAAAACTGCCATCAGGCCTCGACTCTTGATGTGGAAGATGGCTCCTTCAATCGTGCCAGGGGCACCCGGTGATGTGGTCTTGCTGACAAATCTCCAATCTCAAGTAACACGTGAAGTCTACCACCAATTCCGTAATAGAACCGAGTAGGGTCTTTCGTTTACTCATGACCTACTCGGTGAGTCGTCTCCTCCGAGAATGAATTTATATGCAGGCAAGAGTGCGGTCAAAACTAGCCGTATCCTGAGTGATTCCAGTATTCCAAATGTACCGTGTGACCTGCGACTGTGGTAGGGAAGGAAACTCCCAGAGGACTGAACTTGTGAAGTAAAACGTGGTCGACTACCCTGGGGATTCTGAATCCCGGAATATTCAAAAGGAGGTTGAGGTTTCCATCCAGCTATATCATCATTGAAGAGTGATAAGATGTCCGGATCCAATGGTAATTGGGTCCTGTATAACGAAAAAGATTCCTACGTACTGTAGTGAGAGAGTGAAATAATCAGATACGATCCTGATTCATGTCTGACCTGTCAAAATACGTGTATGGAACTCCTGGCCTGTACGCCACCTACAAGAGTGAGTCCCTAGGTCCCTGCACTCCTGACTGTCCGGGTACGATCTCCAAGAGTAGGCCCTAGGCCAAGGAACCCAGGAAAGTGAATTTGATAAATGAAGTCAAAGCATCCCTATATAGGAATACCTCCCTTTAGCCTGGAGTCCCGCGGACTCCTAGTGTTCTCCGATGCGTAAGCAAGATGTAAAGTCCCTTCACTCACAACAGGACTTCCAGATAGCAGATATAACGAAACATGGCTCTAGCTTCAATCGTCCGAAGCAGGTGTTGCCCGGTTTGAGAAAGTCGGCAGCCATATCCGAGCCTGCTACCCAGTCTGAGTAGTACTCCAGTGGTAGGTTGCGTCCCGACTTGTGACGTCCATGTAGGAGTAGGGGACACACATCGTTCCTCCATAGAGTCCAAGTAGGTATCCTTGCTGACAGTTGAATAGGTGGGTTAGTGAGAAACCCCAATATGGTTCCCGTGAGGGATTTAGGGTATAGAAGGAATGTTCCCAGAGGAGTGGAGGTAGTCCAATCATCTTATTCCAAGATTGTTAACGACCAGTGAAAACAAGTCGATCAAGGACTCCGGTCTTTCTATGTGTACGGCGTAGCTGCAGACCGGGCTGTGGGCCTTCCTTAGTCTTTTTACCCGAGCACATTTGCTCTACGAAGGCCTCAGGCTCTCGAGTCACCTTGACATGGGAAAGAACTGTCTGTGCAGTTAGTTCGCAATGGTCTGCATAACCTGAACAGAGTGCGATTGCTAGTCTGATTATACCGACACCTGCAATCTTGCAATAGCTGAGGCTCAACCCTTAGCCGTACCATCTCCAGGAGTACATCCAAAGGAATGTTATAGGGCACCAACAAAATGGAGCAATCCTGGGGGCTGAACCCACGCTGGTCAGCTCAAACCGTCCCTATACTGTCCCATAAGGACTCTGGGACGTAAGCAAACAAGTGGGAAATCACTCCCAGTAATACATCTGTGAGTCTTTCTCGCGTGGGATACAATGGCCGGATCCAGTAGGATCATATAGGAGGTGAAAATAGAGGAATCCGGTCTAAACCTGTATACCCTGCATGATCAGGTAGACCTCTAAAGCAAAACTGGTAGCACAGTCGTAGATCTAGAGGAGGGGTTCTCTCCCCTTGCCCAGTTGTTATGGAGCATTGTCTCCCTTACATACCGGTGAGGTACTATACCCCTGTACCAGAGCCGAATCATCAGCGGTGAACATGGTATGTGGTACGAACCTCTCTATATTGGATTGAGAGCAGAAGGGACGCCTCTCTATGCAGACATTGTTGTCCTGTACAGGTACAAGCCTGTGTGATGAACAAATGGATGACACCGTAGTGTGTTGAGTGTATGAGAGAGAGCTGCACTCTCTAAAAATGTAGCTGAACTCCGTGTTAGCATCCGGCTGATATCATGAGTGGGCCGCACCCATTAATAGCAAAAGTTAGAGTCTACCTCCGTGTCCGTTTCCTTCTATGAGAGTGTGTCCTCCGTATCCTTCTCAGTATCGGTCTGAGTTTGAAGGAGGGCTGTGCCCTCTAATAATGAAGCAGTGTCCGGTTCAGTATATGAGAGGGGTTCGCTCTCTACTTGTGTAAATAAAAATATCGGTCTTGGGTCGAGGAAATGGAGGCCCGCACCCTCTAGTAATCCAAACTAGAGTCCATATCAGACCCAT